GGCTTTGTCATATTATCTTTTTGTTTACCTGTTGTTTTAAGTCAAGGCTGTAAGTACTAATCTCATTGTCTGATAACTACTTTAAACGACCTTTAAGACGAAGTCATCTGATATATATAATCTGCCAAATCACTTCTAAATGAAATATATTCACTTCAATACTCTTTCGAAATACTTACTATAGTCACTATGGTCAAATAAATATTCAAAGCTTATTTAACCGTGCAGCTGGTCGTTTTATCAAATCGTACGATGAATAATTTATAGCGTTCTGCGGTCCATTTGTTCAAATAAATCATAAATAATTCATATTAAAAAAAGAAATTATCATTAAATCAAGGCTGTGTTTTCGAGAAATATATTTTCAAAACTCAAATCAGTTTTAATACAGTTGCTCTTTTTTCAATATCTGCACTGTGCAATACGGTTTCTAATTTTCGTATTTCTCAAACAATACCTATAGGCATATATTTTAACGTATTTTATGTTTGCCTTTATTCCTGAAGAATACCATAGTTGATACACTTAAAGTAAAATATTGAGTATGCTAACGCTGATATTCAATTATATCAAACTCATCGTTTACCTTAATAAATGTGCGATCTGATAACTGAACGACAACCTATCCGAACTAACTACATTACACCCATTGGGTTTGGACAATAACCTCTCTATTGGTCATACTTTTGCATCTTAAATGCATGTCAAATAGCTGGTATATATTATCAACCTTGTTTACCAGAGCCAAAGGATTACTTTCTGTTCCAGCAGTTCAATGTAGTGGTCTGATATCCGTATGCCATGAACATCTTAATCAGAGCCACCATTTTATAGTTAAGTACCCACCACAACACATTAATCTGAATAAACAGGGTCTTAGCTTTTGTTGTATAATCGGTTTTTTTACTTGTTGTTTTAAGTCAACGCTTCAAGTACTAATCGCGATATCTGACAAAGACTTTAAAAGGACATGAAGAAGAAATCTTCGCGTATACATAATTTGCCAATAAACTTCCAAGTAAAGTTTACACAGTCACTTTTCTTAAAATTACTTTCTGTTGTTCATTGTAATCCAGATACTTGTATAACTCTGCTGTTGGCTGAGTCCTGAGGCGGCGTGTTTTGTAAGTTGCAAGACACACCATATTACGTAGACAACTAAATCAGAAGGACAATTTTAAAGCATTTTGTTGATACGTACATGTATGAAATTATTATGAAAAGCAAATCTACTTATATGTTTGGGTTTTTATACATGTACTAAACTGAATTTCTTGAAGCAATTGAAACAATTTATTTTACACTTCAAAACCTCTTTCAGGAGGTCCGGTTTATAAAGATTTTGATAAGTGGTCATTCTGTTTCTACGTAAATGTGCACAGTTTTCTGATTTGGTTTAAATTGTACAATGTAGCTAGGCACGAGGTGATACTTTGCACAGCAGGACATATCTGCATATTTTATTCTGACAGTTAAACAAATAAGTTCGTCTCAATAAGCAATCATTTCCAATTATTTACTCCACCTGTCTGACATGTGGATCTGATATATTCCATATCTTATTCCCATGGATCAACCTTTTCATAAATTGACCCTCCGTCAAGATTCTTAAAGATACGTATAATTGCCCCGCCTGTTGTTTCCGGGGTTCTGTGTGAAAAGCTGTTAAGGGTGAGCATGAATTGTAATTAAATGCCCCATGACACATACAAACAAATAATCCTAGGCCCTGCTTTACGTCAGTACAGTAATAAGACACTAGTGTTTTGATCTGTATAAGGTTTTGTCAATCTAATAATATAGTGTGATATTTAATACAAATCTGTGCTATCTATAGACAGATTAGATAAATTCTCAAAGTACTGTTAGCTTAAATTTTATCAACCACACATTAAAGGTATTATTCCACGAAAAAATGTAAGTATCAAATTCACGGATAATAATGAAATGACAGGAAATCGGTTTACTACATTTAACAAAATTTGGTCTTTTTACTCGTAAAATGTCTTATAGTTGTTATATGCTTGGTAAGTAAGCATACATGTGATCTAATTGTATCGATATAATTAACATATTTTCTGATGTATGTGTCTGTAAAACCAAGCCTCCCCCAACTGATTGTGAGTATCGTATAATGTCTATATCTAAACTTAGTATCTATCATGTAATCTGACACATTGTCTGTCGTAAGAATGACAGAAGAAAAACTGTCATGTAATTTGTTGTGGGATTTTAAAAAAACCCGATTGGTTTGGTTTGTTTGTATTTTACGTCCTATTAACAGCTATGGTCATTTAAGGACGTGCCAGGCTTCTGTGGTGGAGGAAAGCAATAGTTTCCGGAGAAAATCCACCGACCTACGGTCAGTACCTGGCGACTGCCCCACGTAGGTCCCGAACCCGCGACCCAGTGGTGGAGGGCTAGTGTTAGCAGAATTTAAGACGCCTTAATCACTTGACAACCGCGGCAACCGTTTTTCAAAAGAGGGGGCGAACGGGTCGCTGTCTTATGTATTATTCAAAGATATTCTATTTTCAAAATAAATTACATACGACTGAAAATAGAATATATACATGAATAAACCATAACGTTAACACAAAAAGACAAAATAAGACCCAGCGTCAACATACAAAGACAAACTATACGACTGTGTCAACACACAAAGACAAAACATACCACAGCATCAACTCACAAAGACAAAACATACCACAGCATCAACACACAACGACAAAACATATCACAGCATAAACACACAAAGACAAAACATACCACAGCATCAACTCACAAAGACAAAAAATACCACAGCTTCAACACTCAAAGACAAAACATACCACAGCATCAACACACAAAGACAAAACATACCACAGCATCAACTAACAAAGACAAAACATACCACAGCATCAACTAACAAAGACAAAACATACCACAGCATCAACTAACAAAGACAAAACATACCACAGCATCAACACACAAAGATAAAACATACCACGGCATCAACTCACAAAGGCAAAACATACCACAGCATCAACACACAAAGACAAAACATACCACACCATCAACTCACAAAGACAAAACATACCACAGCATCAACTCACAAAGACAAAACAGACCACAGCATCAACACACAAAGACAAAACATACCACAGCATCAACTCACAAAGACAAAACATACCACAGCATCAACTCACAAAGACAAAACATACCACAGCATCAACACACAAAGACAAAACATACCACAGCATCAACACACAAAGACAAAACATACCACAGCATCAACTCACAAAGACAAAACATACCACAGCATCAACACACAAAGACAAAACATACCACAGCATCAACTCACAAAGGCAAAACATACCACAGCATCAACACACAAAGACAAAACATACCACACCATCAACTCACAAAGACAAAACATACCACAGCATCAACTCACAAAGACAAAACATATCACAGCATCAACACACAAAGACAAAACATACCACAGCATCAGCACACAAAGACAAAACATACCACAGCATCAACTCACAAAGACAAAACATACCACAACATCAACACACACAGACAAAACATACCACAGCATCAATACACAAAGACAACACATACCACAGCATCAACTCACAAAGGCAAAACATACCACATCATCAACACACAAAGACAAAACATACCACACCATCAACTCACAAAGACAAAACAGACCACAGCATCAACTCACAAAGACAAAACATACCACAGCATCAACACACAAAGACAAAACATACCACAGCATCAACTCACAAAGACAAAACATACCACAGCATCAACTCACAAAGACAAAACATACCACAGCATCAACACACAAAGACAAAACATACCACAGCATCAACACACAAAGACAAAACATACCACAGCATCAACACACAAAGACAAAACATACCACAGCATCAACACACAAAGACAAAACATACCACAGCATCAACACACAAAGACAAAACATACCACAGCATCAACTAACAAAGACAAAACATACCACAGCATCAACTAACAAAGACAAAACATACCACAGCATCAACTAACAAAGACAAAACATACCACAGCATCAACTAACAAAGACAAAACATACCACAGCATCAACTAACAAAGACAAAACATACCACAGCATCAACTAACAAAGACAAAACATACCACAGCATCAACTAACAAAGACAAAACATACCACAGCATCAACTAACAAAGACAAAACATACCACAGCATCAACTAACAAAGACAAAACATACCACAGCATCAACACACAAAGATAACACATACCACAGCATCAACTCACAAAGACAGAACATACCACAGTAACAACACAATAAATAGGAAGTCGAAAGAAAATGACGAAAAGAACAACGGTAGAAACAGGGTGAGAGAGACATCCTGAACCCCCATAAAGAACTACAGGCGAGACCAGATGTTCCGGAAGGGTAAGCGTTTTCAGTTCAACGTGTGATACCCGTCTCGATGTAATGATGATGTCTACAGTATTTTTCAATGTAGATTTAGGCCTTTAAGGTAGACCATTCTAGCTACGTAGTGTAATGGTCCACAGTATGCATATACCCAAAAAACAAAAAAAGCCGGATACTTATCCAGAAATAAGGAAATCTGAATACTTTGAAAGGGCTATGGAGTAGTAAATGAACGATGACACTGTATAGAATGAACGTATACGCGTATGTAAGTAGGACGTAACTGTGAAATACTGCGATTTGTTTTGCGTGTTATATTTTTGGACTATATGTGTAATTTGTTGACGGCTGTTAAGTCTCAATATCTGTTCACAGCATCCTATGTTATAAGATTTATTCTGAACTAGATCAGCTGTAAAAGTTTATCCATGACAAACACTGTATTATTGTGGCGCTTTTTCAGTCCTGTGTTATCATTCTTCTTATCCCTACCATTTGATATAATTGTCTTTCGAGAAAATGTCTGCCTTTGGTGTGCTATTAGTAATGCAACAAGAATAGGTTACTGTATCATAATATAATTTATTGTTTTTACAAAATATATCAAATATGCCACAATGTACATAATAGTCAATAATATCATGGAATCACATACGAACAATCAACAAAACATAAAAAGAATCATAAGGAATGCATTAAACTATTTTTTGACTAGAAGGACCAGTGATACATACAAATGACACCATATTTACGAAGTTTTCTAAAACATGTATCAATATTTCCATATTAGTATTACCTTGAATATCTGAAATTTTAAATACAGTCATGACCTCAGTCTGCTAATTGAAAAGAGAACTTCAACAAAATACATGTTTATACAAAATACTTTTCAAAGTTTCAAATGAGCTTTATCTTTACCATTAAAAATGCATTTACATTGGCAGGTACCACGAAACAACTGCTAATTCACCTAGCAGATGTTACCATATAGAGGTGGCCCATGTTTTACGATAATCTATAACTAACAAGGAGCCCTCTATGGTACTTTATCAGACTCCGATTAAGCTTGGATAGATTGATCTTACAATTAACTAGTATTCTTTCCCATCACCATTGCATACTTTAAAGAGGGCATACCGGATTATACATTAACATAGCAAAAGTACATAGTTGTACAATATGGCAAACATGTGGCAAAGTTCGCTTATATATTGCTGATGAGAGCAACCTTGTTTTGTCCTTCTGAAATTCAGTTTAAAAGGTCATGTTAAAGAAATGTTTATTGAAACGTTTTTGTTATTCTTTTCTTGTCTTTATGTAACTCTGTTTTTAGCTTAGAACAAAATATCTTAACTACTTTTACAACGTTTCAATAACCACACAGCATGAACCATTGTCAGTAAAATCAACAAGCATTGATCCCTACAGACACGAACGAAAACATAGACGAAAATGCGAAACGAAACGAAGGACATTAAAGCAAGGCTACCACAACAGTTAGACAAAAACGCTTCTAATCAAATGATTTTCTTTTGAAATAAACGAAAACGAAACTTTTAGCGCTAACATATACGAAAACATAAAGAAAATCAAAAGCATCAAGCATTAATGTGCTATAAAGCGGAACCAAGGTTAAAAATCACACTAATCTTCTCACACTGGCCTGTGGGAGAAAACATGATAAAAAGGTTCATATTTTTACTACAATGTTTCAGTTCGTTTTACATAATAGCTTACTTATATCAATTATGCGGAAAACTTACTTGATAAAAAGTGCAGAATTAATCTTTACTTGACCTGTACAAAGAGCTTTCATTGTACGATTATGACTTCTAAAGCAAAATATGCCAAACTGCATATTTGCAAAAAAACAAACTTAATTAAAAAAGATATCAAATGAATATCAATACATTGAAAGGGCGATGAGGAAAATGGGCTGAAGTTCTCGACATTTAATGCATTTGCAGTAACTTATACGTAATTCTAAATATGGTATATCAAATGTCAAAAAAAAATAATGTTACATAATGAAAAATGGCGTTTATTCTGTCAACATATAATCGATATATTTATGTATAAAAGATAAAATATAGGTCAATAATGCCTAATGATTCTTTTTACAACAACTGTTTATTTCGTGTTACACCAATATTGCGAAGTTATCGTTTCACAGCAGCATCGTCAAAACACAATCTTTTATCCGTCAGCACCGATTACCATCACGGTGGTTGGAGACTGATGTGAAGACACAAAAGATTTCTCATACAGAGAGGTTTTAGTCTTAATTCTCTCTGGCAAGTCTATCACTTTGTCTGTGTCCTCTTGATTGCCTTCCATTGATACACCTCGTGAAATAGACGGAAGAGGATTACGCGACACACTTCTGCTCAAGTTTGCCGCCGCTTTCTTCCGTTTATTTGACGGATCATCACGTTTGATGTTGAGAGGTACCCCTCTAATGTTATTGAGCCTGTCAACGTCTACTACTTTCAATACGGCAGGCCCGAGCGTGCTCATTATGCGTCCATTTTCCATCTCAACTTTATAAACCATTTCCTTTTTGGACACATTAAACGGATTAGGTTTTTTGAGAAGTTCTTTAATAGCAAGAGAGTAGCGAAATCCGTAACACATCTCTCTCTTTTTCTTCTCTGGTTCTTCATCAATTTCCTCTTCTTCTTCTCTCCTGTCATCTTCCTCAATGTAAGTTTCGATGATTGTTTCTGCTATATCCTCTTTCTCCCTTTTATCGTGTTTTCGTGCCCGTTTGAGATACTTGTTCTTTTTTACCTTTACCTCCACTGAAGGTTTTTTAACCTTTCTCATTTTCTTCTTCTTTTCGGTAGGATCTATGGGTCCATCATGAACACCGAAGACACTATTAATTTGCTTTCTTTCCTCGTTAATATCAGGAAAACACGCAATTTTCACTGAACTGACGGAATGTACATCAACATCCATTTCATCATTATGTTCATGCTTGTCGTGATGTTCGTATTCCATCTCTGATCCGTTAAAACTTTCATAGGCACTATCGGTTGATCTCGTGTCTCTAGTCCGTCTGATATCCGATTGGTCTGGTGGAGAAATAGTACTGATCTTACGAGTCCGTATGTTCCCCTCGAGTGAAATTGAGGGTTTGCTACCTCCAGTTCCACTGATGGAATGACGCAAGGAGTGCATATTTGGAGAAAGTAAATGTCGTTCGATTTCACTTCCATGGAATGTCATTTTGCGAATGTGATTTCGTGAAATTGAGATCGGAGAGAGTTTGCGTTGAGAGTGAAGTGGAGAATGCAGATGACCATTCGAAGACATAAAAGATTCCCGAGAGCTTCCGAGTAAGTCTGATGCAGGAGATGCAACATCCGGTCGAATGGTATTGGAAAATTTCTTTGGAAGGACTGGTTTCTCACCGGAAGCTGGTGTGATGATAACAGGAAGGGATCGTCTCCCTTTGTTAAGTTCCCTCATCCGCTCACTGTATGCGAGCATGGACTTCTCCAGATATTTTCGGTTGGTGTTAAACGATTGCATATCTTTACGATGCATGTTTTCTATGGCACCTAATATTTCCTTAAATTCGCGATCTTCTTTCCTTCGACGTCCTAAGGCTGGAGGACTGGTTTCACTGTGGATTCTTGATACACCAACATAACTAGTATTGTGAGTCCAGGCAGTGGGTTTGCCACCAGCTAGCAGCAGTTTACCCCGCATACTGAATACAAAGGTCGGTCCGAAGGACTCTCAGTACCGACTGAAACGTGACGTTTGCCCAAGGGATCTGCAAATAAAGAACAGTTGCTTAGATCACAGTGTAACCTGTGGGCAGTGACACTAACTCGCCAGCACTGGAATCATGTCCGAGTTATAAGCTTCAGTAATACTAATCAATACTTGTAACAACGAAATATTGTTGTTTCGGTGATAAGCACGACCTTTACATTTCCCAACAGATTTTTCATTAAGCCATTGAGCGAGAAATCTAATAAAATGTTGATAAATGATTTTAACTGATCATAGTTACTATGTGAAAGGATTAAAGAAGAGCAATAGTGTCGCTATACACGACTTATCCGATCAAGCAAACACTCGACGCGGCAATTATGTCAATGTCATCAATGCTCCCCCGCGACTACAAGGATACTTCAATACAAACTAACAGTCTCAGCTTAGTTTACATAATCCCTGGGATTCTAAAGGAGTTAAAACGCTTTGGTTTATCTTAAAAGGAGACGAAACCTCGGGTTTGACTTAAGCTAGCTAGCCAATGTCGGTCAACGGAAAACTGATTTTAGTTCGAAGATGACTTTACCAAGAAAATGAATGATAATTCTGTGTTTAATTTGTACGATGAAAACATTACAAGTATTATAAAAATTCTACTTTTATCAAAAGGTAAATAAGAAACTCACCTAAGTAAGGGCTTGCAGTTGTTGGACCATTCAAACAAAGAGCAATACACCAGTCGTAAATAGTTCTGAAACAGAATAAAAAAATAGTTGAAATATGTAAAAAATAGTTAAAATCTAGATAATAAACAACTGACTAAGAATACATTTAAATTCCCTCAGTTATCGTTTGTTTTTGTACACAGTATTTACAGACTAATTATAAAATCCACGAATTATTCGACGCTAGTCATCAATGAAGTAAGTACACATTGTTTCATAGATTTGGGATTTGCTCTTTGTCAGTAGCTTACGTCTGTAGTGGTCAAAGAGTGCGCAGGCATAACATGAGACCAACTGATACACTGTATGTATAAAGGTAAAGTAGAAGGCCTACTGCAGTCAAGGTTAACCTAAGGATATAAACAACCTTAACAACAATCTTATTCATTAAGTAAATGGTTTGCCTTACGCTTATTTCATTTAATTAACGTGTCAGCACGTTCTCAACCTTATAACACATTAAAGTCTATAAAATAGCTGAAGCAGATTAAATCAAATTAAATTAGTTTGAGTGTGAAAAAAGATATTTCTATTTACTCCTTTAGAAATAATATGGAACCATGGTGTGCCAACGCATTTAAAACCTCATATCACATCAAAACGAGTCATTAAAAAGGCGCGCGTGAACGAAGCTATTTGTCAGAACAATTGACAAAATATTGACCGATACATGACCTTCTTACTGTTTATTTCGTAAATATATATTTTCAGTATTTGTCAACATGTTTGAATAGAAACATTTATTAAGAGACGTTTTCTTCCGCGTTTAACCAATCGAAATGAATGTCCCCCAGTTAACCCGCTTTTTAAAACGAGCTCTCTATATAGAAACACTTAATGTGCGTCTTTTGTAGAGAAAATTAATGTAAGCAAAATGAATACATGATGTGCGAATAGAAAAGGTTCAACGACAAGGTAAAATCTCATATTGTCAAAGGAGATATTGATAACAGATACGAGTTTTGAAAATACAGGACACAGTAGTTACATGCAACAGTACTTTATCTAATATATCGGAAATTGTCAACATCTTTTGATCATATGTGATGCACGATTTTAAAGTCTGTAATATATCATTCTGTACAATCTATCCCTTGCAGGTATATGTTATGCGAGTAATGAACATGAAGTTATTGTCAATAAGGCACATACACAGTATTTCTAGCAGTGAAAATAAAACTGTTGTTAAAAATACAAAATGTACGACAAATAACTATTCTTATTCAGCCATGATGGAATACCCCATAAATATATGAGCATGATATAGTAAAGATCAAATGAACATATAATACTATCTAGCAAAAAAATATAAAAATATAAATATATAATTAAGAAAATGTGCATTATCAATAATGAAATATATCTATACGAATTACATACGAGTACATAAAATGTAAGATACTTACAAATAAAATCAGTAAGGTACGACCTGTCTGTTAAGAAAGCAAACGTAAAATAACCAACATGATGCTACGATCCTGTATTTAAATACACACGTGTAATGGGACTCGGAAGTTTTGGTGTGTTTTTGAAGTAGCAGGGTAACGTTAAAACCATAACCCTACTTATCAATGACTAGTATTTTCCAGCTGTCAATCAAACGGAACTCCCACACCCCCAGAATACGTACAGGTATTTTTACATACTCGGGATTTCGTGACGTCAATAGGCTATTAGTAATAACAACAAAGCTGATCACGACAGCAGTAGACTAAGGTTCGGGGTATCTAGACACAACTCGTGGTCTGATCGTAGTAGGTATAGCGTGATCTATATCGACAAATATTTAAATATCCCTCGATCATCCACAGGGTTCGTATTGTACGTAAACAATGTTATAGACGACGGGCTATACCAATAGTATTGTAAAAGATTACGAATTGATTGCTGATTTTTACTACTTGAACCCAATCGTAGTGATTCGGTGGCTTTGTTCCAGGTGGTTTGTACGGCGACATTTGTGTGTGAAGGCTTGTGGTGAGATTACTGGTATCAGGGTTGCGTATTCACATGTATTCTTGTAACATTATAGTTTACACATATCAAACAATTGCGGCTAAATTGAATTGACAGGCGCCGCAAGCAAATACGCTACACGGACACGTATTTAACTTCATCTGTGGGCTGCGGTAGACCACATCATAAGAAAACACCGGTTATTACGTCAAACGCTCGAGTATTTTGAAATTTTAGCACTTCTCTTCGATGATTTAATCAGTTCTGATTCATTGTAAATTGTTGTTCCAAATCTTCCGTTGTATTTGTAAAAATGAGTAATACACCGAGATAAGTACACGTTAATGTCAGCGTTTTTTTTATTGTATGCTTAACTTTGAATGAATAAAAGCACTTTTGTCTTTTGTCCTTCTGAACGTAGATTCAAAGTATAAACTTGGTAATGCAAAAAAGTTCTATCTGAGTTTTAATAGCGACCTGGATAGCCAAATACGTATCTACGAAATCGTCGTGTATAATACTGTTTTATATAGCGCATTATTGAAATCACATTTAAATGGAATAAAGAAATACAAAATAGTCATCATATTATGTATAAAGTCCTGTTTATGTATAAATAAATTGACATAGATATAATATAGAATAAGATCAACGACATTAAGATCTTTCACAGTTTCAGTTATGCTATTGACCTGAATGCATTATATTTTCAAATCCATAAGCAACCATATTTAAATAAAATATATAATTAAAATATTCATTGAATTGATATATCATCAATAACGAATAAATTGTCCGAGTCCAAGAAAATATGTATAAGATTTCAGGAAAAGGGGATATGTAGTCGAAATAATGTTGTTGAGTTTGGTTTATAAAGTATTAATCACTTATCAACACCATAACGTGAAACATAGCAAATATAGATACACGAGGGGAAATGGGATTAAAAACTATAAATAAGGACACCACTTAATTAAGGTCATTGGAGTGTATTGATAAACGGAAATAGGAAGTACATCCCTAGTTGAAAATCCAATGTAGGGACACAGTATCACAATTTCCGCATAATCTAAAGTTAATATTAAACTGATGAAAATTGTATGTTTATTATTGAAATAACAGTGTGTTCTTTCAATATTGAAGAATTTCAAAGCGACTCAGGCATTGATTCAGGTTTTTTATCAATGAGTCACATGTGTCCATTTTTCTGTACTTCAGGAAACCGGCTACCTATTTCACTATTATGAAGTTTTTCAAGACAGACAAATGTCATTTTTTAATCGTTTATAGATAATTTATTTGAAACACAATTTCAGCATTTATTAAATTGGTATACATTAATGCGATACTAATCTATGGCAGTATTTTTTTTATTGACATTATTTTGCAAACAATTGTGTCTTTCATTTCTTTTTCAAAATTCACTCCTTTTTACATAATTTTCCATTTAAAATTCTTAAAATTCTGACAACCAAATTGTTTTTGGTAGAAAATGTTCTTTACTTCAAAGCAATATAACTACAAAATTTGAAGATTTTTTTACTGAGAAATGGTGACACAATCCTATTACCTTAAGTAAATGGGTACATCAGATCTATATAGGTAATTAGTGTCGGCAGCACCGAGAATATAGACAATTCTTTAGAAGCCTGAAGTCAACACGTACTATGATGCAACTGGATGCAATAGACTGACTCGTTCTTGAGACCAATTATTACACCTATTTTAATTTTACCATGTGCTTTCGTCAGAATCCTCCCCTAAGACTTATCGAATACGTGAGATCCAACGATTGCTGTCCATATTAGTATCTTGTGAATTAGTATGTTTTAAGAACAATGAACGGAACAATCCATGATCGCAGATCGTTTAAACCTGGTGGTAGCCGGTGATTATTTCTTGTGGCTATTATTAACGAATCCAATAATAGTATGTCACTTTTGACTAGTGCGTACCCTTTGGTGATATATCTGAGCATTATTATCGATAGAGTTATCATTATAATGCTTGCACGATTCTGATACAGTGGGGGTCATTTTTGGTAATGTGGAATTAATTATATCTGAATAGGAAGCAATGGATCAGAGGAAACCGATTTAAACAAAGGATATATTATATTCGTGTTCTGAATTATCCCTTTATAGGGCATGCTATTTCTGTATTAATTAAAGCTCAGGGGTAGCTAAGACATTGTTATAACTATTCTGGCACATTGATATCTAACTTGGCGTTTGGACATTAACACAGTAAGCACAGTAGGTGTTATATATATATTTATAGTTATATCTATAAGATGTTAACTCACGATAACAAATCAATTATGATGTCCACTTGTCGCTACGTTTAACACTACATCCGATGCGTGTGGGACGTTAATAGGTTATTGTGTTTCATTGTTATCTTTGTGAACCACTTTGTGGAAGAGAAGTTATGGGATCAAATACATATAAAGACTTATTATATGTGAATCACTGGGTAACCTAACGAATCAAAGCAAGTGCTGTGAAATGCTATTTGCGAAACAAGCCACAATGAGTACACATCAAAGACCCCACATATGCTCCTAGTTCATAATATAACTTTACCACACAGGTATTTCTGATGGGTGAATATAGATGTACTGATGATCGTCATAAAAGATATTTCAAAAGCTATGTCAAAGTAAGACACACAAAACTATTTCCTAATACAAGGGACACAATTCGATTACAAATATACATAATGTTGTTTTTTTTACAATCATAAAATAGAAAATGTATCATGTTAAATTGTCAAAATTCAAATCAATAGTGTTTTTTTTACAAATATTGTGATTTGTTTTAATCCCAGAAAATATATGTAGTCATGTTGATTTGGTGAGTTAAAACTAATAAACAAAATTTAAATGACTAATTAAACTATAATGTTTTATTTAATACATGGTACCTCAATTAAACTGTTCCGATTTTTTTCCTCAAATAAAATATCATTGTTATGTACAGTACCAAACTCTCCTCATTCTTGTCTATTAGACCTACATCCCCTCATTATCATCTTTTTGGCTTACACTCAAATCAATATCATCCATTAC